GCAGGGCTTGGCGCGGGGGTAGCAGGACGCACAGGCAGTGAGCAGGGGGGGCTACCAGCTTGTGTCAAACCAAAAGAGGGAAGTGACAGGGTGGCAGCCTCGGGCAAGAGTTGGTTGTGTAGGTCGGAGATGGCGGTACAGAGTGTAGAGAAGAGTTACTCAACATGCCTGGCAAATTCTTGGAAGAGGGATATGATCTGTGTCATGTCACTGGGGTTATGGGGGGGCACTGGTGGGAGCGCGAGGCTTGACAGCGTGGGGGTGAGGGGGGTTGTGGGGGGGGGCACTGGTGGGAGCTAAGTTGTTCTATTTGATGTTTTCTTGGGGCATATTGTATTATGTTAGGGTGGGGGGGTCCTTCCAGGTCCTTGTGGCACTGGAGGGATGATCCCAATCTTTTTCGTTTCTAGTTTTTATTGTGGGTGTTTGTGATCTTTTGAGGTCTTTGTTTGTTTGTGGGGTCCCTCCAGGTCCTTGTGTGACTGGAGAGTTGTTCCCATCTTTTGGTTCTTTTTTAATTGTGTATATAGAGGCTCTGGTTCTTCATTATCATTTTTCCTGCTTCTAGGCCACCATCTGTGCGATGTGTTGTTGTTTTCCTTATTTAGTTGGTTTAGTATGGGATCCTGTTCTTGATGGATTTTTCCCATATTGCATTTGCTTGGGTGTGTATTCTGGTGTTGAGTGGGTCTATGCTGTGTTCTGTGTGTATGTCTTGTATTGTTTGTGTGCATGGTGGTCTGTGTTTTGCCGCCCTTCTGGGGGCTATATTTTGCACTGCTTGAAATTTAAGTTTGTTTGTTCTTGCGATTGTGTTCAGATGTATCGGAGGGTATTCTAAGTGTGGTCTGACAGTGCTTTATATAGGTGTAGCTGTGTGTTAGTGTTTAATTGGCGGAATCTTCTGAGCTTTGTAAGTTGTGATTTTGCAATTGCTATTCTTTCATTGATGTGGGGGATTATTCCGTTTCTGGTTATCTTAGTCCTAATATTTTTCCGTTGGCCGCATATGGTATTTGTTGGTTATTGACAATAATAGGGTAGGGATTTGTTTTTGCGATGTGAATTATTTTGAGTTTTTGGACATTGGCTTTTATCTTCCATTTCCGTTCATAGTTATTTACTATCTCTATTTCTCTGCTTGTTCTGATGGCCATCATTTGTTTGGATTCCTGAGTACCTGACTATCTGTGTTACATCATCTGCGTATGCTATATATTCTGATTGCCGTGATTGTGGCATGTCTGCTGTGTATAAAGTGTATAATGTCGGCGATATAGTACTGCCTTGGGGAACTCCACTGTGAAGGTTGAAAGTTTGCCCTAGATGGTTGCCGATGATTAATTTGGCCTTTTTATTGTTTAAAAAATTGCATAGTAGTGTTGTGATATTGGGAGGCATGTCCAGTTTGATTACTTTCAACTTCAGTCCTTCATGCCAGACTTTATCAAATGCTTTTGATACATCTCTTAGAATTATATTACATTGGTCTCTGTTGCTTGCAGCATTTGCGATTGATTCGTATATTAGTGCTATTGCTGTGTTGGTTCCTCGATTTTTCCGAAAGCCGTGCTGTCTTGGGTTATATTTGTTTTTCTTGGTCTAGAATTCTAGATAATTTCTGAGTCTGTGGTTGACTATTTTTTCCAATATTTTACCGGGTGTTTCCAGTAGTGAGATAGGTCTGTAGTTCTCTGCTTGGGTATGGTTCTTTCCTGCTTTCGGGATGAATCTGATTTTGGCTATTTTAAATTTGGTAGGGAAGAAGCCAGTTGCAAGTGAGGCATTATATATATTTTTAAGCTGTTCGATCATTGACTCAGGAATGTTTTGTAGTACGATTTTAATAATTTGGCTTATGCCAGGTGTTTTGTTCTTAAAGCTTGCTATTGTTTTGTTTTTTCAATATCATTTTGGGTTTATGGAACAATTATTGGGTTATTATTATTTAATGAATTAAGGTTGATTTTCCTGGTAGGTTTCCATTTCTCTGTGTTCTGGCTCAACTATGTTCTAGTTGCCTGTTCTGTTTCTTGGCAGAAGCTTCTATTGTCTTCGTCGTTGATTCTGAATATGTCTTTCCAGTATTCTCTAAATATTGGTTCTTTATCGTGTGGTTCTGTTGCCTTTCTTCCGTTTTTGTCCTTTATGTAGCTAATTTCTTCCGAGTTAGTTCCCAATAGGTTTTTTATTTTTTTCCAGAATGCTTTTGGGTTTCTGTAGTCTGTTTGTGTGTCATTTATCAGTTTGTTCCATTTTTCATTGTGTTTGTCCCTGCTACATACATACATACATAGAAGCTAGTGACAGGGGGGAAAGAGGTTCAGGGGAAGGATAAAGGGAGGATAGAAGTGAATTTTAGAAGGAGAGGATAGGTGCAGTGGCTAAACACCGCTTGCGTGAGGGGGTAGGCAATGTGCCCGGATGGTGTAACAATCATAATCAGGACGAGGCAGAGGGAGGGCGGGAGCAGGTCCGGGCAGGCAAAGGGCCAACACGGGTGCTCTGGTTGTCGTCTTAGCTTGGGCAGTTGTAGGGTTTCGTGGATAAGCTAGTCTTCTATGCTGCTTGAAGACTGGGAGCATGATCAGTTTCTCCTCCATCCTGTGTGAGTGCGAAACTCCGGGGGACACCATTTGTAGGGTTTCGTGGTATTAAGTGGTTTAGCACTCAGGATGGATGGAAACTCTAAGGTGGTTTTCTTATATAATATAAGTTATATGATAGACAGTCTGGTGCTGGAGGTGCCGTGTGGTGAGGAGCTGCTCAGTAGAGACGTTCGGTGAGTAGCGTGTTGAAGGAGGTAGATGTGCAGGAGCTTCGCTAGAGAAGATGTTGCCTGTTGCTGGCCTCCTGGTTGAATGAAAGCTGGACAGCGAGGAGCTTGCTGGAGGAGGTGTTGCGTGTTCAGGAACCGAGAGCAGAATGAGAGAGCTGGTTGGTGAGGACGCTCAGAGAAGGACAGCTGGTGGGTTGCCATGCTCGCTGGCGGGAGCGAGGACCGCCAGGCAGCGGCGGAGGAGGAGGTGTTGCTTGTTCAGGAAGAGAGGCCAGAATGAATCTCAATGGAGAGACAGAGCTTATATACCCAGCAGCCATGAGTCAGCCTTGAGCCACTTTGGGAAAACCCGAGAAAGTCGCCGGTCTTTGGCTCTGTTGCTAGGATACTGCGGCATCTGGTGACGCCCCCCGCTTGGGCCGCTAGTTTGGTTGCTAGGGAAGATGGTAGCAGCTGGTGGCTGCGGCTACGCAGTTGTAGGCAGTTGTAGGGGAGACGTCCACTACACAGTGTTGGCAAAGCGGAGGAAGAACCGCCCCGCCACGGCTGTGGCGCAGGCCGAGAAGCGCAGGTGGACGGACGCACAGGCACACATGGTCAAAGTAACAGGGAGGGTGAAAATGGAAATGTAGCTAGTCGTAGGGTTGTTTGGAGAAAGATGAAGGTAAAGTCTTTGAGCTATGTCAAAGAGGAACGGAGCGAGTTGGAGGAAGGGTTTTTCAATCTTTGAGCTTGAAATGTCAGAGTATTCGTAGTAAGGAAGGATGAGCGTATCATAGGAGAGTTTTTAGTAATAGCAGGAGACAGATTTGAGCTTTTTTGTCAAATTATGAACGGAGATTTGAATGAGATATGGGTTGGTTGGTTTCAATTTTGAGTGAGGTCGATTTTATTGAGATTGGATGTCACAGAGTTTTGGTATGTTTGATTTGGTTCTGGAGAGTTGTAGTATTTATGTAAGGCTTTGTCTGGGGAGAGTGGGGGGTTGTGTTTGGAGATTGGTTGTGGGGAGGGGAGTTTGTATTGGGGATTGGTTGGGGGTGGAGGTGGTATGTTGATTTGTGCTGAATTAGGATTGCTTAAAGGGGGTTGTTGTGTGAGTGTGTGTGTGTGTGTGTCAATATAGTAAGGGGTGAGGAGGAAGTGGAGGATAATTATTAGTTAGGTCTGGGGGGAGAGGGGGCTTTGGAGGTAATTAGGTTGATTTATAGTATGGTAGGATTTCTTGGGGTGATATGATTTGTGTGGTTAATGAATAGTTGTATTGAGTTTTTTTTTTTTTTTTTTTTTTTATAGAGGGGGGGTCGAAGGGGGTTGTTGGATAGGTCGGGTATATTAAGTTTTTGTTTTGGGAGGATTGTAGGTTTTGTTAGTGGTTGACAGAGTTGGGTTATTATTGCTTTCTTTCTTTTTCCTTTTGGCTTGTAAAGGTCTTCTGCAATTTGTGTGGAGAGCTTTTGCAGGTATTGTGCATTCCTGGTCCCATTCTTTGAGGGGTTCTTGCTTCAGTTCAAGTTTAGAAGTTTAGAAGCTCCAACAACTTTCCCTGAATACGAATTCGCAACCTTTCGATTTACAACAGGTACCTACTTTACTGCTAGGTGAACAGGGACCAAGGGGGCTAGGAAGAGTGTCCAAACAACTTCCGCTTGCCCGGGAATCGAACCCGTGACACCTTACTTGCGAGGCAAGAGCGGTACCGCTTCTACCACAAGCACCCCTTGTTCTTGCTTATGACAGAGGGGTATTTATACAATCCTGCCTACTCAAGGATGCAGGCTGCGGGATGAGAGGCACCTCTGATTGGCTGATGGCGAGGATGGCAGCTGGCCAATCAGCGAGCGAGGATGGCGCGAGTAGGCAGATCATTTGTAGGGAGAATTAGCCCCTGCAGTCTGGTATTAAGCAAACTAGCTTTTGGGGAGCTTAATTTAGCATTTTGAATTTATGTACTGTGCTTGTACTTTCTATTTGAGATTATCAAAAAGCAGGATAATTACATATACCCGTATAAAATTATATGATTAGGGTAAGTAGTATTCATTATTAATTCTACAATAATCACTTTACCCAAACTGTGTACCCAAATCTGATCCCGCTTTTAATAAGACAGCCTGGCTGCTTTCCGAGTTACCAAATTATCAGTTATAAGTGGTGGATTTTGGTGGTACAGTCTCCTTATTTGATGAACATAATGTATTCTTGAACTCATTCACTACAGGAGGTGGAGGAAGAGCCAGTAGTGAGACGGGAAGAGCCAGTGGCGAGACAGGAAGAGGCAGTAGGGCGGGCAAAGTCCACCTTTCAAGAGTTGTCAACGAGCCAAGCAAAGTCCACTTCTCAGACCAAGAAAGCTGTTTCAGATTTTCTAACTGTACTGCAGGTCAGGCAAAAAATTTATATTATAGTATATATTTGTAATTACATATTATAAACACCTTCTGAAATATTTGTCTTAAATAAAATCAAGGACAAATTCTAATCTCTGAGATCGATGTTCAGGATTTCATGTCTCATATAACCAGAATTACATTGTGTAAATACATAACAAGACATCAATGAATGTCACTTAGATAACATCACACACAATGAAATCCCAGATATAAGTTATTCTCATCCATATCTTCATTACTTTAATAATCCTGCACTGGTCCTTATCCCTATCTTCCAGGGCCTATCAGTTCCAGATGAGACAGCGGAAGGCAGTGACAATGTAGCAGCTCTGGTATTCCCACTCACCATCCCAGTCCCTCCTTCAACCCAAGCTATCCAGAAGAACTTGAACCAACTGGCAACAGATTACTTCCTCCCTACAAATGAATATCTTCCACCCACAAATGAGTACCTACCACCCATAAATGAGTACCTTCCACCCACAAATGAGTACCTACCACCCATAAATGAGTACCTTCCACCGTCTAACGAATATCTCCCACCCTTATTCTAAAAATCTGTTTATGGTTGCATGATTGAATGAAAAAGATCAAATGAAACAAGAGAAAAGGTTCAAAATACATGTAAACAACATAAACTTTGAGCTACATAGTCAATAATTCTATGTAGTTTTGAAAGTACAGTGTAGTGGATTCCTCCCTTACAAACGCTGTTTGTCGCTGAGTAGCCGACCCCGCGAATTCCCCAGTGTATGCCTCGTGGTCCAGGTCAACCAGCGCCGACTTACATGACGGAGGTCAACTATTAAGCCACGCCTACCTCCGCTATATAAGACCTGACCTCGTGGTGACCTAGCTCTTTCTACCTACACCAACCAGCAAGCAACACCTCCTCCTCCTCCTCCTCCTCCTCCTCCTCCTGCCTGGCGGTCCTCGCTCCCGGCGGCGACCATGGCGACCCACAAGCTGGTCCTCCTCTGAGCACCCTCACCAACCAGCTCTCTCTACATCACGCTTGTAACCACCTGCCACTTCCCAGCACCAAGCTGCACTGTACATCCAATACAATATGTATACAGAGAGCACATTGTGAGTTTCCTTTCTCCATCCCAATCTGAGTGTGAACCAAAGAACCCGTACCCCACAAATGGTGACCCCCAGAGATTCGCACTCACACAGGATGGAGGAGAAACCGATCACTCTCCGAGTCTTCAAGCAACATGGAAGACTGGCTTATCCACACAGAGACAGCTCTCATCGGCTCTACAGCTACTGTCTCTACATCGCAGGTTAGACACCCTAGAGCAGCACTGCTTCTCTAAGCAGACACCAGCTCCTCTTCCTGCCCCAAGCAACACGTCCTACCAACACCAGCACACCCGTCCTGCCTCAGACGCCGCCCCCGGCCCAGCAGTACCCCCTGCCACTGTCCTGGACCCTCCTCCTGACGTGGACCCTCCTCCGCTCCTGCCTGGCCGCCCCTGCTCCCGACGCGGCCCATGCGCCTGAGTGCGGCCCCACACACCATTTTTTTCCTTCAGGTACTCCCTGCTACTGTCCTGCACCCTGCTGCTGTCGTGGACCCTGCTGCTGTCATGCACCCTGCTGCTGTCATAGACCCTCTTCCTGATGCAGCCCCTGCTCCTGACCCAGACCCACACACCCCAGCAGGCGCATCTGAAGACTCTGTACTTGTCACGAGGGGGGCAAAAAAATTCATCACCTCCACAACCCTCCTTCTCCCTCTCTCCTCCCACAGATCTCATGTATCTAGACAAAATTGTCTCCACTAGCAGCCGGCTCATCCACGCCCTCGCCGTTATGTCTCACATGTGGCATACAACCCAGCCGAAAACAAGTCTCTTGCACCGCCCGTTCTGCCTCACATGTGCCATGCAACCCTGCAGACAACAAGTCTCCTACACCGCCTGGAGGGAAGGGGGAGTATTGGAGTGGATTCCTCTCCTACAAACGCTGTTTGTCGCTGAGTAGCCGACCCCGCGAATTTCCCAGTGTATGCCTCGAGCCTCTTGGTCTCGGTCAACCAGCGCCGCCTTACATGACGGAGGTCAACTATTAAGCCACGCCTACCTCCGCTATATAAGACCTGACCTTGTGGTGACCTAGCTCTTTCTACCTACACCAACCAGCAAGCAACACTTCCTCCTCCTCCTCCTCCTCCTGCCTGGCGGTCCTCGCTCCCGCTGGCGACCATGGCTATCGGCTATCCACAAGCTGGTCCTCCTCTGAGCACCCTCACCAACCAGCTCTCTCTACATCACGCTTGTAACCACGCTGCCACTTCCCAGCACCAAGCTGCACTGTACATCCAATACAATATGTATACAGAGAACACATTGTGAGTTTCCTTTCTCCATCCCATCCTGAGTGTGAACCAAAAAACCCGTACCCCACAACAGCACTGTATCAGGATTGTCAAGGTTATAAAAATGGAATTATGTATACAGAACCTTGGTTATTCTAAAGAAGGTCCTATCTATAGAACTCTCACCTGAATATTCAAAGCGCATGTAAAACTTGAAAATTTCACTACGATTCTGTTATATTATATTAAGCTTAGGTGAAGGAACCCTCAGCAGTTTAGAGTTTTAACCTTTTTAAGTCAAATACTATATTGATGACTGATGAGAACTCAAAAATCAAATGATATGCAGGTATGAGTATATTGAAAAAATATATACTTAAAATAAATAAAAAAGTTAACAATCACAAATTTAAGCCTTTGTGGGGTATGAGATGTTTGGTTCACACTCAGGATGGAATGGAGAAAGGAAACTCACAATGTGCTCTCTATATACATGTTGTATTGGATGTACAATGCAGCTTGGTGCTGGGAAGGCAGCATGGTTACAAGCGTGATGTAGAGAGAGCTGGTTGGTGAGGACGCTCAGAGAAGGACAGCTTGTGGGTCGCCATGCTCGCCAGCGGGAGAGAGGACTGCCAGGCAGGCGGAGGTGTTGCTGGCTGGTTGGTGTAGGTAGAAAGAGAGACAGATCACCACGAGGTCAGGTCTTAAATAGCGGGGGTAGGCGTGGCTTAGCAGTTGACCCCCGCTCCGTGGTGTATGGCGGCGCTGGTTGACCTAGATCACGAGGCATACACTGGGGAATTGGTGGGGTCGGCTAGGCAGCGACAAACAGCGTTTGTAGGGGAGAATTCCACTACAATACTCCCCCTTCCCTCCAGGCTGTGTAGGAGACTTGTTGTCTGCAGGGTTGCATAGCACATGTGAGGCAGAACGGGCGGTGCATGCCTCATGTGAGACAACGGCGATGGCGTGGATGAGCCGGTCGCTGGGGACAACTGTCTAGATACACAATATCTGTGGGAGTAGAGAGGGAGAATAAGGGTGTGTGGAGGCGATGAATTTTGTGCTTCCCTCACGGCAGGTACCGAGTCGTCAGATGCGCCTGCTGGGGTGTGTGGGCCTGGGTCAGGAGCAGGGGCTGCGTCAGCAGAAACGGATGAGGGCTCGTGACAGCAGCTGGGTCCACGACAGCAGCAGGGTGCAGGACATTAGCAGGGAGTACCTGGGGGAGAAAAGAGGGGGTGTGTTGGTCCGCACTCAGGAACAGAGGCCGCATCAAGGGCGGCAGGGGTTACTGCTGGGCCGGGGTCGGCGTCTGAGGCAGGACGGGTGTGCTGGGGTCGGTAGGACGTGGTGCTTGGGGCAGGAAGAGGAGCTGGTGTCTGCTTAGAGTAGCAGAGCTGCTCTAGGGTGTCTAACCTGCGGTGTAGAGACAGTAGCTGTAGAGCCGATGAGAGCTGCTTCTGGGTGGATAAGCCAGTCTTCCATGTTGCTTGAAGACTGGGAGCGTGATCAGTTTCTCCTCCATCCTGTGTGAGTGCGAATCTCCGGGAGTCACCATTTGTGGGGTTCAAGATGTTTGGTTCACACTCAGGATGGGATGGAGAAAGGAAACTCACAATGTGCTCTCTATATACATGTTGTATTGGATGTACAATGCAGCTTGGTGCTGGGAAGGCAGCATGGTTACAAGCGTGATGTAGAGAGAGCTGGTTGGTGAGGACGCTCAGAGAAGGACAGCTTGTGGGTCGCCATGCTCGCCGGCGGGAGAGAGGACCACCAGGCAGGCGGAGGAGGAGGAGGTGTTGCTGGCTGGTTGGTGTAGGTAGAAGGAGAGGCAGATCACCACGAGGTCAGGTCTTAAATAGCGGGGGTAGGCGTGGCTTAGCAGTTGACCCCCGCTCCGTGGTGTATGGCGGCGCTGGTTGACCTAGACCACGAGGCATACACTGGGGAATTGGTGGGGTCGGCTAGGCAGCGACAAACAGCGTTTGTAGGGGAGAATTCCACTGTTAATTTCTTTTTTTTCTTTGTTTTATCCTCTTCACCACTGATCGGCTCGTTAGCCGCTTTGGCAATCGGTCACTTCTCTGTTACGCAATGTTGGCAACTACTGGGCATACACCAGCTCCTGAATGTACCTCAGCTTGTTCCAGTGCTTGCCAAGTCTGGTCTTGAAAGAGCTCACACTCAGTGCCATCACAACACTCTCTGGCAGATTGTTCCAAGAATTCACAACTCTCATTCCAAAAAAGTTACCCCTCACAGTTTTCTGGGCTTGCCTCTTCTTCAACCCTGAGCTGTGACCCTTGTGGGGCGAGCGTCCGCCAGATGATCCAGGTAAGGGCACTCGACTGAGTACTGCCCCCTGAGATGCTTATACATCTCAACCAGGTCCCCCACTTGCCCGTCTGTTGTATATGCTCGGCACTTTCATGCTCTCTAATCTCTCAGGGTAGCTAAGGTGCCAAAGTGCAGGTACCAGTCTGGTGGCCCTCCTTTGGACATTTTCAAGCAACTGACAATCCTTAGCATATCTCGGGGGCCAGACGGGGAAGTACCTCACTCTTGAAGATTGTTACGAGGGACTGACTGTCTAGAATTCTAGATATCTCAATGACCTTCTTATAAGACCTAATAATTTAGTTGCCTGCTTCACCTTCTTCTCGCAAAGGCCCGAGAACTTCAGCTCGTTGTCACATTCTCACATTCAGTCTCAATTAATGCAGTTTTTTCGTCCCGTTGAGACATAATTAAGATACACCTCCTTACCGTTGGGACGTCCTAGGTGCAGCCTCTTACACTTCGCGAAATTGAATCGTAGCAACCACTTCTTCGACCATTCTTGGAGCTCACAGAGATCCTTTTGCAGTGCTTCACAGTCTGCTTGGTTCTTAATTTCCCGAAATAAACTTGACGTCATCTGCAAACATTTTATATGAAGGAGGGTACAGCATCAGGCATGCCATTTATGAAACAAACAAACATCAGCGGACCAAATACACTGCCCTGTGTTACCCCGCTTGTGACGGGTACACATGAAGATTTCGTGCCATTAATCACCACACACTGCTTGTAGTCATAGAAAAGTCTTCAATCCATGATAGGACACTTCCTCGAATCCCGTACCCTTCTAGTTTGATTTTCAGCCTTTCGTGGGGTACGCTGTCGAAAGCCTTAGCAAAATCTAGCTATATAATGTCGATATTGCCACCCTGTTCCAGAATTCGGGTCCAAGCATCTTGTACCTTGAGTAATTGTATTAAGCAGGAGTTGTTATATATATATATGTATGTTTATATGCTGCCTTTATTGAATATATATATTATATATTATGTTACTTCTTACCAAAGTCAGAAAGTGTTTAGACTTGTATAAACACGAAATGTGCGAGGCACGTTGTAACCAAGAAGAGAGAATAAACGTTTCAGCCAGACGTAATTGGGCGCTTCCATGTTC